GGCGGGGCAGGGCGGTTGTGGGAACGGGGAATCGTGCTTTTCGCTGCGGAGTGGCCGGCAGCGCGATATGGTGGAGGTCGGACCGAAGCGGCGCGCCGCTCGTTGGCAAGCTCCGTGGACACTCACCGTCCGTGCTGCGGGCCGACGTTGCCGCTGTCGAAGGAGGAGCTGGCCGAGATGTCCGCGTCGGGGATGGCGCCCGACTCCATGCCCAGAGGCGCGATGCACTGCGCTGTGGACACAACACACGCAATTTTATATTTAGCCGAAACTAAAGGAGAAAAAATGCATACAACAAAACCACCACCCCTGCGCGGGACGGGAGAATACACTAAACATTGATTAGTAAGCACCGCATTCTTGGCTTTCAACCATCTCTCCCTGTGCCCACATATGTAGAATATTTTTTATGGTAAGAACAGTCAAAAAGCAATAATATGTACGGTAGAGAAAAACAAAGGGAATGTTTTTCGTTATTTGAAACAAAGATTTCTTACGTGCGTTTTATAGGGTTTAACAACTAATTTGACTTCTTAAGACATATATTGGCTGTTATAACGTAAAGGACTTATATTGAGCAAGTGCCTGTGAATCGTGTTTTTGTGGCTGTACCACAAAACAAAACTACAACCAAAGCTGTGTTGGAATCCTAAAGAAATCGGTGACATAAGATAAACTAATGTTCATTACTTGACGTGGAATAAAGATTTTCCACATTCAAGCTACTTTTAAGTAATCAAGGGAGAGTTACAGGTCTCAGTATTTTGTTGTTCAATGTCATTTTAAAACTAAAGAACAGTTTACAGTAAGGGGTCGTCCATAAATTAATAACTGTGAAGAGGAGCGTTATGCTGCGTTATATAGGGTTGAGGGGATATTCATTTAGTGTTACGTAATGCTGATATTTATTTTTTAAATCTTTTAACTTTTGCTGAAATAATTTCTTTTATTGTCTTATATTAAAACATTACCATATTAACAAATTAAATGAAAAGTATAATAAATTAATAAGTAATTTCTATTAATTGTTACAATAAATGAAAATATGTTTCATCACAGATATTTTGATTGAATCTTTTTAGATTTCGAAGAAAATTTTCAAAACTGATCTATAGTATATTCTAAAATCCAATTAGTTGGCGCAGTTGACTCGCAGCTTATGCGATATTCACGACGGCTTGTCAGGAATATTCTCGCCTACGCGTTATTTCATTAAAAAATTGTCCTCAAACTTATTGTTATCAGTGTCCGCACCACCAACCAAGTCTCACGTTAATTACAAAAAAATTTAATGTATAACACACATACAATTAATACAACTCGTTTCTGCTAATAATCAAATTTTACTTATTAGAATTGGTGGGGGTGTCGCAAGCGTTACGTAATTATTAGAAGGGGGTTCAAATCAAGAGAAAAATGTTCCAAATTTGCGTTACATAATTTATGGATGACCCCTACGTATATAAAAACACGGTAGTTTTTGATTTCATAAAATACATACTTCCTAAATAAAAATAAAAAACTGTAAGAATATAGAACTCGGAGAAGAAAATTATCATTAAACATTTAGAACCGAAAGAGTTGGGGCTTACTAATAAGATCTTTCGTTGAGTTTTGTGTGCTTCACTCAACAGATTTATTCTAGGGCTCTAAGAGTTATTGTTTCAAATAAGTTTTGAATTAAGCTGCATTAATGTAGCTAAATTTGGAGAAACACCAAAAGAAAAAAAAAAGCATTTGTCTGAAAGTACGTCGAAGAATTATATGGAAACATAACGTCATCATATAACAATAAAGTGTCCTCTCTTTTTGCCGATCAATTGATTATTTTGTGATCGATTAGTTCGTCAACTGCTATGGTCAATAGTCCCGTACGTGCTGCAAATGTTTTGTCCCGAGGTTGGCGGTGTTCTTCCCCTGCGGGATGGTAAGTTTCGGCGATGACTTACACACCGGTTTGAAGATTTCTTCATCCAGGTATCTCTCATCAGCTGGTTACCGCCCCAGCCGGAACAAGCCCTAAGCTCCCTATTGGTCTCACGACACGTGTGGTAATGTTCTGGGTGGAAGTGTATGTGTAAGTAAGGTGTGAGGTTATGACAAGGAGGAGGAAGGAAAGATTACGGACAATCAGTGTCCCGTTTGTCAGGGTACTGCTCCGGATTTTTGTTCGAAAAAAAAACGCGGAAAAATAACTTTAAGAGCAGGTGACTGCTAGAATTCTCTTCAAGGCAGCTGCTGAATTCGACCTACTATCTAGCTAGTGTCGAAAATCCTGCCACCGACGGGAAATGAACCCTGGGACATGCCGCCAGAGGCACTGGAGTGAGCCACTGCAGCAGGTTCTTTGTTCGGATATTGGAAAATATTAGCATCGTGTACACATAATAAATGTTGTTGTCTCTTGTGTAAAGATTTCAGTCTATAGTTTCCTTTATGTTGAATTATGTAAAGGTTACTGCCCTGTTTTATCAGATGATGCATAAAGCTAAAGTGACTGAACTCTGTCAACACGTCCACACCGTCAAATCGCTTCAGTCAACGCTGCCGTGAAAGTCACTCAAACTTCTTTATAGCACCATTTTCCCCAAGGTTTCAACAGGCGGAGGGCGAAGGAAAAGTGACATTGGCAGTGTTACGCCCCAATAGCATTTCAATTTATTTAAAAATATGAATTAATACATATTTTTGGGACTTGGTTTGCAAATATCAATAAGGTATTGGGTATAACATATTGATGTTGGCACGTCTACATGATTTCCCGACAATATTAATTTATTTCCCGAAATTCGGGGAACATGTTCATACAAGTGCAGCTTCTATAGATATAACATATTTATAAATATACAAACAACACACCAATCGAGCCTACACAACAAGCAAATCAGCGGTGTTTAAAGGTCACGCGGGATCTTATTTTGTCACTGCGCAAGCGAGGAAGACTGCACTAGCAACGCCTACTCAGGGTTATTTTTTTCACGTCAAAAACAATAAAAATTGTAAGCAACGTACGTAGATAGGGATAAAATGGACACTCAATGCGCTTGTTCATGTGTCAAGTTCATGTCTGCATTGTCGAAAGGGATCCAGGCGTTCGTGCAGACACACCAACAAGATATTATTAATGGATTCAGAGCGAATTGTCCCGCACGAGTCAGTTTACACGTGATATTTCTAATTCTCTAAATTCTAAACATTATTAATTTGATAAATATTCCGTGCCCCTCATACGTCATTTTGCGTGCATGGACATATATCACGCGCGTATTGAGTTCTGAATAAAATTTCTTCAAAGCAGAGTTCGATCTCGTTTCCACGGTTTACCTATCGCCTGAATTCACGCAATGCTAATGATGTGAATTAAAGGGCGAAGGTCTATTACTAAATCACGTGGTCAGTGTATGGGACGGGGGTCCTAACGTCAATGCAGGCTTTTAACGTGATGAAGTGTGCCCTTTCTTCGCGCGCGTATGTAAGTGCGAAGTCTAAACATGGGGCAGCAGCCTCTCCGTCTGCACCCCCGCCATTGTTAGTAGGATCGGTCCAATAATTCTTCATTCAAGAGGGAGGCAACAAGAGAAAATGCAATATGCCATGCAAGAAAATTAAAATACTCCGAACTGGGACAAGACAAATGAAGAATTGCAAGATTATTCTTGTAAACTCGCAATGAGATTAGTCCGTGCTGTTCCCAAATCTCAATTAACTTTTAATTAAAACACAGAAACAGGAAAAGTAAGAAGAAACGAAGAGAATTTTCCATGAAGAAGTAGAAAGCTTTTCGGTCATTTGAGTGAATAAATAATGAGGAAACACCTAATGAAACTCTCACGATTTGAGATGTGGAAAATAAATCGGCATACTACGTAACGAGTCTCAATACCAAACCAGCCAAACAAAGTAGCGAGGAACTGTAATGACAAGGACGACAATGATACGTAATAATAATAATAATAATAATAATAAAATAATAATAATAATAATAAAATAATAAAATAATAAAAAATAATAAAATAATAAAATAATAAAAAATAATAAAATAATAAAATAATAAAATAATAAAATAATAATAATAATAATAATAATAATAATGAGCCAATACATCTTGAAACAAACATCTGAACTAGAGGTAACTTATTGAAAAGCTGGCAAATGTCTTGTGCCTGCTAAATAAATCATATATTAATTTACATGATTAAATTGCACACCTGTTACATTATTGACATCAACCACTTCTTACTGCAAACGAAAGAGCGTAACAATAAAATCCGCAGCAGCAGCTATATTTCTATACACAGAGAAACGATACGTTGCAGTAACTAATATCAACCGCGAGCACCGCAGCTAAAGAAACTAACCGTGTTTAATGCTTCTAAATACTTTTTTGTGTGTTTTCCCATTAAATCACTGTCTGTTTATTCATTGTATTTCGTATTCGCATTATGAGGTGTGAAAAAATTAATTCGACTTTACTTGATGACTATACAATTCTCGTTTTGTTGAACCATCTTTGTTGAACCATCTTTGTTGAACCATCTTTGTTGAACCATCTTTGTTGAACCAACTTTGTTGAACCAACTTTCCTCATTCTCGCTTTTTATTTTTAATTTCACTTTTTATATTTAATTACATTTTTTAAATTTATCAAATGACCCTAATGTGGATGGAATTCAAAAAGACAAGTTTGTGCCATGTTTTTTGTTTTATTTATTTTTAGTGTGTGCTGCCAGACCTCTAAATTCATTAAAAATTAAAGCACATTAATAGAAAAAGCTGTACTTCTACCATTTCAAATTCCCCGACCGGACCTCGAGGTAAAAGCGATAGGGCTCCAGCACCCTATGATAAACAACAGGTGTCAGGAAACATGCTTCTCAATTTAATGTCAGATGCCACACGAGTTTCCAATTAACGTATCTTACCAATACAAAGGAACAACATTTTTTACTTTCGTTTTTTATGGTATAGCTCGAATTGTGGAGAAAAGGCACGATAGCCGTAGTTCCGCAGCGTGCTCAACCTACATCCCACGTTCGTTGGGTCTCCGTAGCACGGCGATAAGATAGGATGATGAAATGCCAGGTGATGTGATGAATAATGCGTATGGAGGGGGAAGACGGTGGAATGAGAGGCACGAGAAGCGGGAGTACTCGATGGGAAACCTGCCGAGAACATGTTTTATTTATTGAGTTTACGTGTTCACAGTCTGTGCATTCATCAACCTGTTCCAAT